CCTAATTCCCGTGACAATTTTCATTATTTAAATATTCAACTATATTGTCATGTAATTATTAAATAATATTTCACTATAAAAAAATCGTATACTTAAATAATAATAATTGCCTTGGAAATTAGGTAGTGAACGCTATTTCGAGAATGACCGGTAAAATATTTATTTTCAGATTTGGGTTTATGTAGTTTTGAATATTTTTAACAGACTTCAAAAAAGGGAGAAGGTCCTCAATTCGACTGTAGGTTTTGTGTATGTTACGCGATAACTCCGGCTCTTGAAAATGATTTTGATAAGTCTTTTTAGTCGGAAAGAGGGAACCTCAGTAGTGGTCCCATTTAAATTTGAAGAAAACATTCCATAGTGGCAAACTAGGGGATGAATTCGTCGCGCACTTTCCAGTAACCGATTTCAATAAAACTTGGCAAATAGACGTTATTATACGAACTTTTGAGATCGGTTTTTTTAGTATTCTGTACTGAGATTACAACCTTAAGCGTCACTTTCTTACTTTCGGCCCGTCTCCTCCTTTCGTGTATTCGAATTCATAATCAAAAAACCATATCCGTTCCTTTATTCTGTTCCAGCTTTTGGTTTCTTCGCAAAAGAAGGAGGTACAACACAAAAAAATCTGTTCCAGCGTTTTGTTATCGATTTCTTCGCAAAAGAAGGAGGTACTACACAAAAAAAAAACAATACCAAAAATAAGCCGCTAGTAATCTTCAGTTCAATAAGCGCCATCTAGTTGTTCAGTCTGCTATCACAGAAGCTAGTTAAACGAAACGAAAGATAGTTTGTTACATAATCTCTAATACAGAGTACTAAAAAAACCGACCTCAAAAGTACGTGGAATTACGTCTATTTGCTAAGTTATATTGAAATATCTCCTAGTTCGCCACTATACAGGACTTGACACTGGAGATAATAAAAATCGGTTCTCACTACCCAAAGTATATTGAGAGAAAAACGCCTTGAATTGGAGAAATAGCAAAATCCACCATTAAAATAATTGCTCTTAAATTAAACTTTAGGCGCTATTTATAAAAATGAATCTTCATGCGTGAACAGCCACCCTTAGAGGTGGATGATTTTCTTCAAAATGAAATGGGACCACGATGGAAGTAGGTACTCCCTTTCCAACAAAAGAAGAATCATGAAAATCGGTTCACAAATACCGGAGTTATCGCGTAACATACATACAAAAAAAAGAACATACTCGAATTGAGAACCTTCCCCCTTTTTGAAGTCGGTTAAAAAAGGGGTAACAAATCGTTACTCATCGCGACATCTGTCGAATAGGTACTAAACACTCGACTACTTTGTCTTGTGTCGCGATTAGCAGTCTTATTGAATTATTGGTCCATAATTAGGTACAACTGAAAAATCTCACCTTTTCTCGATCAAGCAGTGGCTCTCCGGCTTCCTTTAGAGCTTCCTGCTCCTGAGGGGGCACGCTTGCAGATATGATCACGTTTTCGTTGCTGATGTTGAACAGCGTCAGTGTGCAGTTCGTCTGACACAATTAAACATTACATGATTAAAGTTTACTCATAATTTAACATCAACCTTGGTACGATCGAATTCCTTTTTTAAATAACTACTGGAAGTAAATTTTGAGAGCGCGTATTTTGGCGTTTGAGACCGAGGAAGCCATCGCTTCAGCCTCTAAGTAATCGAGCATTTGCAGTCGTTTTAATCTCCTGATGTTGCTACTACTAACTACTAACTACTAACCTGGACGAACTCTTTCACAACTCTACTGCTAAACAAATATCGTTGGAATTTCCAGGTTTCGTAATCTATATATCATAATATAAGTACGTAGATTATAATAATTGAACATACATACAAGATATTCCGTTTTACAGGACTTGTCAACTTAATTATGTCTCAGGGCGACAACGGGTGCAGTGGCAGTGCCCTTAAAGATCTTTGTGATTTACAGCTCTGAGTGACACCGCAACTGTTATGGATAAGCTATACGTGGATACGCTTACCAATAGGCGCACAACTTGTTCGTCACATGGTGTTATAAAAAAACAATATCCAATGCGTTAAAAACAGTTATATTACGTGAAGTTGTTTTACATGATGATTAATATGCACGTTCTCTCGCTTCGAGAATTTTGATGGGAATTGTAGTGGACTGTATCAATGGGTTCGGGTGGGTGCTAACAACGAGTGAGCAAGGCTAAAGTAAGTGTAGGTACTTATGGCTTATTAATTTATTACAAAACACGTATCTATCCAAGCAAAACAGAAAACAACTGTGAAGAAAAGGCGCCAAAAACAACAACAATTTAAATTTAAAAAACTTAAAGAGGCAATAAAAAACAGGATTTGTATCGACTGCTGCGAGTCGCTACAGAAGTGATGACGGAATGAACCAAAGTAAGAATAGTGTAAGAAAAAGGAATTCGAGATCGATTCAAAATTTTAAAAGTATGTTGCCAGTAGGGTTTGCACGACAGGGCGCGACATGAGCGAAAGCGACATAAAGCGCGATATAATGCTGTTGTCGCATAGAGATCTCGCGCTTTATGTCGCTCTCGCGCAAGTCGCGCATTTTCGTACTAGCCCTATAGGAACCAGAAGGAGGGTGATAAAAAGGTGGGATGACGATGAAGGAGGTCAGCATCGTCACAATCGCTAAGGCTAGGCCATAACTTTATTCCGGTTATTGATCATCAGGTATATGTAGACAATGTCTTTAAGATCCAACTTACCCCCTCGCTGTGCACCGAGTGCATGTACTGCTGGAGCAACCTGACGGCATCTTCGGCGCCTAGACCTGTGTGCGGGCGCAGCAGCGATTCGTCCACTGAGCTGAAGCCTAGAAGCAGGTACACGCCTTCGGGAAGCTTGTATTCGTCTGTAATTCATAAGAATCATGTCATTTGATAATGTTATAGGTACTTTAACTAAGTGGAAGACACAACACAGAAACTTATTTGATTGTCAAAAGTAAGATCAAATTCAAAATGTCATTCTAAACAGAATGTTACTACTATTAATATAAAGATCGAAGCTTAGACTATGGAAACCAAAGGACATGTTTTATCTGGTTCTATTGAATAAAATAAACATTAAAATTTTTAAAATTAATTTTTTATTTATTCTTTTCTAAAACGAAAGACGAATTTGTTCCCGTATTCAGCAATAGCCACCTACATATGTATGCGTATGAAAGGGATGCAGTAGGTAGGTTACAGATTAAAGAACTACTATTCATTATTTCCGTTTTTAATAATAAATGAAAAAAAATAGATTAGTAACCTGGTGACGCCGTCGGTTGCGAATAGCCCTGGACCCTACGTGGTGGTATTTTATCGTAAACACAAAACTTCAGTAGTGACATTCTGTTTTAAACCAGGGTACTTTACTGTGCTCACCAGTATCGATATTTCTTTATTAGGCTGGATGATAAAAATGGTCAAAATCTATTTTGAAACGCTCATGTCCCAGTCATTAATTATGCCAGTCATCGAAATTGAGGGAGTTCATATAGTTAAACTAAAGAATAATGTGGACTTTCCTTTCTATAAATTTCGGGAATTCTCGGAACTGATTATATTTATTTCTATTGAATTTTCTTGTTACTAACTAATATGGACCATTGTAGTCTGATTTATGACTAAATTTAAAAAAATAAAATAAAAAAACATCCATATTCGTATTATTTATTGATACTTGAGTACATTGGCGATAAATTATTATTTCCTATTAGTTTTTGCTACAAATTATTGTCTCAAAAAATAATATTGTAGTTGTGTTTCTAGAGGCACTTACGTATTTAAATACTTTATATCCATTTAAAAACTACACATGAGACAATCTATATTCCAGTACAAAAGGAAATTTTTGCAATAATGACGAACTTAAGAAAACGTTCATACTTTAGGTAAATTAAATGAACTCCTTCAATTCCTATCACCAATTATGGCACAACCACATGTATATACCTATAGTTCAATTGACTCAAATAGGTGATTTGTGTTTTTATCTACTTTATTCCGCAATCAACCTTGTTGGTTATAAACAGATGGGTTGTAGTATCACAATAGAAAGGACTACTCCCAGTGGAGCCCAGCCCTATACATAGATTATGACGTCAGGTATTTTGATGGTTATCATGGTCACAGGTGTCACACTTTTTTTCAATCGTATAGTAACTTTCAGTCAGCTGTTTGACAACTCAAATAGATGTAAATAATAATTATAGTCTTATTTATTATGTACGTATGTGGTATATTATTTTGAAGACCGAGTAAAATGACAGTTCATTGCGTAAAAGTGTTGCCCGCTGGCGAGGAGCTAATGATTGCAGTCGATAAATATTCTATCGACTATCTACTGAATATTGATCACGCTTTTAGAATAAATAGCCGAATAAATGTCTTCGACCCATTGTTCATTTAATTACTGAGCACAGGTTCATTTGAATTGTCAATTTTTGTAACTTCATACATACATACACTCTATTTAGAACTATGTTTATGATAAATACAAATAGGAGACATATTTTAAAGTTTTTCATTTCAACTGAATACAGATAATCAAATTCGTACCTTCTTGTTAATATAGAAGTGAATAAAAATTGATCTCGATATTAGTAGGGCAACTAAAGAAAAAGAAGGCAACAACGCAATTAGTCATCGTTAGAACATCGTACATTTACAATTCAGTCATTTTTGGCAAAATCTTATCTTCTTCTGGCAAATTCTTATCTTTCACAATCTATCGATAAAACTATCGATAACAACTACATTACTCATAGGAAATGAAACTATTTTTCCGGATTTAAATCGCGTATATTTGTTTTTTCAAACAAACCGACGTTTCGGGCCCTTTACAGGTCCCATGGTCACGGTTGACTGAGGTGGTACAGTCTTCAACCAGTTATGTCTAATATTATTTTCATTTCCTATGTGTAACAATCGCGAAAACCTAAGAACTCGATAACTACATTACTCTTTAAAATTTTATAAAATTTTATAAAATTTTATAAAATGTCATAGTACTCCGTCTTCAAAAAAGACAGATTATACGCGTGTGTATTATGTGTTTGGTACTTACTTGGATTAGGTCTCATGCAAATAAAAGACCCTGAATAACAGTAACATCGTCCTCTATAAGCTTGATACGCAGGGGCCGAATGGGAATAATGGGCCAGACGGGACGAGCATGGGGCACGGGGTACACATGCAACTTTGCATGAAACTTGGAGTGAGGCTTCACAGATGCAAAGGTCCGTGCATTCTGCCAATTCTGCTGAGCGGTATAACTGTAAAAAGAGAAATGAAACGCAATTTAAAATCAAGGAACAAAAATATGCTGTACTAATCAGCACTAGAATAGTAGTTTAAAAGAAGTCGCACCCCTCATGGAAGAATGGCATAAGTAAATTTACGTCAAAAGCTTTTATTGCTACATTGGATGCAGAAAAATATACTCCAATCCTCTCCAATTCTTGTAACGCTATCGACTAATATTGTCGAACCCACAACTTCTCCAATTCTTGTCACTCTATCGAGTATCGACTAATATTGTCGATAAAATTACAAGAATTGGAGAGGATGTGGGTTACATTTTTCTGTATCTAATGGAGCAATAAACATGTTTGACGCAACTTCACTTATGCCATTCTTCCATAAGGGGTCCGTTAGAATTCCTTGTGAAAGAGTTCGCCCAGGGAAGTACTGCGTTGCGGGTTTCTGCTGCCAAGCAGTAATGCTCACATTACTGCGTTTAGGTATTCGGGTGTAATTACAGGCACATGGGACTTTACAATTTATGTCTCAGGGTGAAGGGCGCAGTAATATTACCCCTCAGATCTGCACTGAAATTGGTCAGGTGTGTCGTTTACCACTACGCAAAATGCGGTGTATATTTTGGATGGGAATTTGTATATAGAGCTCTTAAAGTATGACTTGACTATCGTGTTTTGTCCAAAGAGAAAAAACGCTCTAGCAATTTTTTTTTAGCAATTTGAATAATTCCTAAAATCTAGCAATGTTACGCTGAATAAAACGTACAGTTTACTTGTCAGAGTAAATAGTGCAATGCAAACTATACAATGCGTTTTGATATATGTTTAACGTGTAATGTAGACTCCATTAAGAGTCAATACAATCTCAAAAGTGCTGAATCGATCACTTTGAGAAAAAGATATAGTATAATTGAGGATATACACTATATTGCTGTGTGAAAACACGATTCCCAAAAATTTTCACTATAAAAAAAAACACAAACTTATGAGTTATAGAAATTTTACAAGAAAACCGTTGTATTCAGAAGATACTTTACATATACCAATTTTTTTTTATATCAATTGAACTAAACAGAATCTGTACACTATACGATATACACTTTTCAAATGGCTTTAATTTGGTTTGTAAAAAAATTAATTCTGAAATAAAGAAAGCTGTCACTGCCGCTCGAGCCAAGCAAAATGATCGGTATTAGTACGGGAAAAATTTGAATTCCAGCTACCTCTCTCAGGAGTCGATGTATGTAAGTAGCAAATTAGATGTAGGATTTTAAAATCTTGTACTTACTCGTCTAGTTTCTCCCATTTTAATATACTGGGCCTCATCATCACTCTCCGGTTTCTTAACGATGCAATATTTCGCGGGCTCCAAAGTAGTTGTCGGCGCGGGCGTAGTCGTCGTTGTGGTAGTTGTAGTAGTTGTCGTCGTAGTCGTAGTAGTTGTGAGAGCCGTAGTGGTCGTTTCTGTAGTTGTTTCGGCGATTGGTTTTGACATTTGAGCCACTTCGTTCGGCAGGACTGTTTGCTCTGACATAGTAGTGATCGGGTAGGATTCGTCCGGGATTTCCTGGAGTAAACAAATTTCGTTTTCAAAAAATATCTTTTAATGATTTTTTGTTCATTTATACCAATGATTCCGAAAGTTATCTATATGGACCTCCATGAATTCTTTACAATCTATGAGGTGTCTGTCTATCTTAGCGAAAAAATTAGGAGGTGCGGGAGATGTTAATGGGAGTGGAACCCATTTAAGCAGATCGTGACCAAAATTTTGGCTTTCCATAAATGAAATAATCCACATTACATAGATTAGTACCTACGTAAAAATATAATCCTTATAATAGACATACCGGGTGGAAATTTGTAATGTCACCTGGAGGGAAAGTACTCTAAATACTGGAGATAGAAATTTTTGCTTACAGGAAACATTCCTTTATTTTTTAAAAGAAATAAAACTGCAATCATAGATTTTCGAAAATTTCTAGCAACGCGCGGGAATTGAACCCGCTTTAATCTGAAAAAAATGCACCCTGCACTTTTATTGCATCGATCTATAGGGTTAATTATAAGAATAAAATCTCTCTCACAAAATTGGTTAATTAAATGAAAAAAAAAAACCATGAAACCTTAATGTATTTTAATAAAACGAAAAAAATGGTAATCTAATTAATTAGTTACTTGAAATGAGCTCCATTTTCTTGGTTACACAAATTTAATCTTTTAACGAATTCATTTTTAGTAACTTTTAATAACGTGCTGTAATGAAATGTATTACAAATCGTATTCTGACCCTCAGCCTTCAACTCGTTTACACTCGCAAAGGATTTAAGGTAAATTTGATTTTTAACATATCCTCACAAAAAAATCTAAAGGGGTGAGATCTGGTGATCTCGCAGGCCATCTGATTGTGCCGTTTGTACCAATCCAGGTATTAAAATGGTTACTAATGTAGGCAGTAGTGACTCTGCTGTTATGGGCGGGACCGCCATCTTCCTGCAGAATTATTCGATTTCGCTCTTCCTCGGATAAAACATTAAACTCATTTCTTAAGAGATCCATTTAAAAATACTTAACAAGTAATCTGATGGACCTTTGAGTAAAAGTGCTTTAACTTGACCCATTGAATTTATAACTCCTTGTTTTTGTAAGATAGATTTCATCCTCATAATTGACCCTATCGATTGATTTAATAAAAGTACAGGGTGTATTTTTTTAAAGATTTTAGCGGGTTCGATTCCCGCGTGTGGCTAGCAATTTTCGAAAATCTTTGAATGCAGTATTATTTCTTTTTAACCACAGAGCTGGTTTTCAGTAAGCTCGCCGCCAGCAATGAACGCAAAATTAAAAAAATATAAATACTGCTACATATTACATTGTCTATTATTATAATATTATAATTAATACGTAAATTAATGTATATAAAAGCAAGGTAAGACAAATAATGACAATATCAAAATTCCTACGCACTAAAACCCAAATATAATGTGATTATAGGGTTATATTCCATAAGCGAATCTTTTACATCGAAAATGCAGGAACAACACGGCCGCCCACGGGAAAATCGGCCTGGTATGATGTTAATAGTTTTTTCATTTTAATTTTAAAAGCGCAGACCGATTTCAAACATATACGTGAGGCTGTGGTAGACGTATTTTTGTACATACCTCGATGGTTTCCAACTTCGGGGGCCTAATATGCTGAGTGCTATGGCGATGATGAGTAGTTGTACGATGGTTGATGGCCAATTCAGGTGGAGACGTGATTAGCCTGATACCGTTGTCGTACCCAGTCGTGGTCAAAAGAGAACCGTAGGTCTTGACATGATAGTCGCTTTGGGCATCCACTAGAATTTACAATCAAATTCAATACTTTTACTTTATGTGTATAACCTTAGAATAATAACGCATAGAATGATAGTTTCATATAAAGGTGCTGGTGAAATTACAGGCACATGGGACATGTCAAGTTACGTCTCAAGGTGACGGGCGCAGTGGCAGTGCCCCTCAGATCTTTGCGATTTAAAGCTCTGAGGACATTGCAGTTGTTACGGACAGGCGTGTTAGCTTATAATCTTGTGCACGACTTGTTCGTCCCGTCACTTGATATTATAAAAAAAAAGAGTTTTATCGCATTGGTCCAAAGTTGACGTGCTTTTGAAATGTTATTTTAACATATCCCGACATGCAGGGTTACGTTTGTTTTCATTATGTTGGGAAGAGCGGTATATTATCTCAAAATCAACAATAAACTCAAGGTGAGCCCCCTTCAGGTAGATAAGTCAATAATAAATAATCGCAGAAGGCAAAGATAAAACAATGTAGCCCATTTGATCTCTTTAGGCAACTTGATCCAGCGATCACGCGTCTCATCTTCTTTAGGTACCTATGCTCTGGGTCAAAGTGATTTAATAAATAACTGAATATTGCATAAAAATCACTATTATCAAATACTTACAGACGAGTTTCGGAACAAAAGAATCGAATGTGCACTTTTAAATTCATTGAGATTTTTTGAATATATTTTGAATATTGTCTGCCTTGATCAATTTGGCGCTAACTGTTTTGACCTTTCATCACATGAAGTCTAACTTACCCACACAAGGGTTCAACCACAGCAATCTTTGCCAACCAAGGCAATCATACAGCTGCGCAAAGTCAGTTCCACGGCAAGCACAAGCAGCCCTCAGTTGAGTTCCCAGTACAGCAACAACAGCAGCTCTGCAGGCAGCTGGAGATCCAGCACATCCTTGGGTCACGGCGTCAACAGCGCACCATTGCTCATAGTTTTCCAATCGTACTCTGAAAAACAAATTGATTGGTAACTAATGGAGCGTTTTACTAGTGATTTGTATGGGCGAGCTCGCGAAACGGGCGAGTCCGAGTGGCCTTGGGAGAGCATAGAGCGCGCGCGCTCTCGCTTCGCCCCGCCCGCCCGCGCCTTTGAAGTTACCGACCAGCGGCGGATCCGAACAGGCACGGGCGAGCACGAGCGCGCTCGGCTGGTACTTTTTCCACGCGTGGAAAGCCGTCTTAATAGTTCTAAGACTCAAGTTACTTTTACACCATGAAATGGGAGTGTTATACAATATTTACTTCGAAATTAGTTCATCAAAATTGAGTAGTGCCTACGAAAGTTTGAATGTTAATAAATCTTTAATTGAAAAGGCTGCACTTTCAACGTATTACACAGAATGGTTTTTACTTAATCATACATTTGCAATTTTACTGATGGTATGATTTTGCTTGTGCAGAACTTTATTGAGTAGATACCACCATATATATTTCTAATGCAAAGCAGCACCATTTGCTTCCGGTTTGAATCACAGGCACAGGTGCCTTAAGACCTTAATGTCCCACGGCCGGCAACGGCAACTCATTTGCGACATTAACAAAACTTCCTTCTTCGTGTATAGGCGGCAGTCACGATTTTTCACCAGGTGGGCCGTTTAAGTATATTTGCTGTTTTGGTTGCCGTAATTATTTTTTATTTACTTTGTCAGCGATCTGTCCTTGAATTATAAACAGATCTGTGCTACGAAACTGAATAGAGCTCACATTAAAGCAAAACGGAATATACTTTGAACAACAAATTCATAACCATGCTGTGGATAATGGGTACAAAGTCAGGGTTATCAGTTGAAAATGAGTTATTTTTTACATAAGTCGATCTTAAAACCGATATGGACAAGGCACTGGAGTTGTGGGGATCTGCCAGCACCTCTAATGTGCACATTCTTCAGCGCTCTAAAATGGTATAATAAAGATCATAGCCCAATCCCCTTGGTTTGTAAGAGCTCAGGGAATACATGGGTATCTTGAAATGCCAGCTATTAAACAGGAGATACTGACACGTATAGGTGGCTTCCCACGACTCGTGGCCCGATTGAAGGCCCGTCTTTCTTCAAAACGCGCTGTGAAAAGAGGGCCGCCCGAGCGCGCTCGTGCTCGGTTGTAGCCTGTTCAGATGCGCTAGTCGATATCTTCAAAGGCCTATGCTCTTGATACAATTCCGAACACACGTCGCCATGTGTGTTGTCGGCCCGAGGCCGCGCAGCCTCGCCCGTTTCGCAAGCTCGCCCAAACTAATCGGCGCGTTTGATATCACGGGCCGTGGGAAGGCACCGTAAGTAAAAGTATGAGTCTCGACTGTCTTTACATACTACATTGGCAAGATCTTCGGTTGACATAAAGCGTCTGGGTGGCTTGTCGCTTAAAAATGTCAAGGATACTAGAAAGTTGGATCAGTAGAACACAATCAGCCGAGTAATTACTAGGAAATAAAACCATTACAGGACTCTTTATTTCAAACTACAATAAAGTATAGTACAGATCTGATCAACTCACTGAGCAAAATCAACTAAATAATTGCTAAAAATAATTGCTCCTAAATTAAAGTTAGGCGCTATTTATAAAAATAAATCTTCATGCGTGAACAGCCACCCTTTGAGGTGGATGATTTTCTTGAAAATGAAATGGGACCACTATGGAAATACCCCCTTTCCAACAAAAAAAGAATCATGAAAATCGGTTCACAAATACCGGAGTTATCGCGTAACATACATACAAAAAAAACCTTGAGAACCTCCTCCTTTTTTGAAGTCGGTTAAAAACAATTCGACGCCTTACTTTCTCAAACACGTATCTTATAAAGAGTGAATTCAGTAGATGGCAAAACATTCTGTTTATTTTAAATTTGTTATCAAGGGTGTTAAACTGTGAATTTGGAAGCATTACTTTAATAATAGATAAAAGCCAGTGTGTGAATATGAAGGAAATATGATGTGAAATCAGCCTGCAAAATTTGTATATGCAATACATTTTTTTGATTTCAGTTACTTTGTGCTTTAAGATACGTGTTTGAGAAAGTAAGGCGACGAATTGATAGATACTACTACCCATTATCCGAGTTCACTCGTACTTGTTTTGAGTCCTGGATTTATAAGCCTGCATAAGATGCGTAACTATAGGGCGAGCAAAAGATTTGGTTCGCGCGTTCGTTATGGTAATTTAGGTCTTCGACAATCTTTTTCAAAATTATTCCTAGTCAAGCAATATGTTGGCTATCAATATATATAGGCAATAATGGTAGGTACTCATTAGTCTAAAATGATAGGCTTTGTATCGTTCCAATGGAATAGTTGATCGTTAAATTCGGAAATAAACAGCAAATTGCGTGGAAATCATCCTGCACAATCTGAACGCGAAATTATTCAGAACCCATTTCGCAGTGCTGGCGTTAGGTAACGTTTCCTATGATAGGGTTGGCAATATGCAAGTTGCTTGCATTTCTCTTTTACCTTGTGCTGTGTTTGATTAAAGTCCCACTTCACGGTTACAGCGCTGGGAATGGACATCAGCTTGGAAGAGGTTTCTTCGGTGAAATACTTAGCTGATGGTTTGTTACAATCGTGGCTATAGATCAGCCTTTCCCAAAGTGGGCGATAAAGCCCCCTTGTGGGCGCTGCAGGCAGGACAGGGTAAGAGATCCAGAAAAAAAATGGGTGCGTTGTGTAGAGGCTTAGGGGGAGATTTGTAATTTAATCTAGGAAGACTCTTAGACACCGAATGACCTCTCGACTCTCGACTACCACTTGTGAACATCAACTAATATTAATTAAGAGATTGCTCAAACTAACTCGGTTCGATATTTCTCTCCGTGTAGTTCATATATCTGCCCTGTTTTATTGAATAAATAAAATAAAAATCATGTCAATCGGTCGCTCCGTTTCGAAATGAAAGTAGACACAAACAAACAAATAAAAACGCAACAGACTCAGTTTCGCATTTTAATAGTTATTAGTATTCCTAGATAGGTAATTTTCGTAGTTCAATCATGTTTTACCAAGTTTTTGTTAAATAACCCGATTTGTGCATTCCTGTATCAATCGGCTGGTTCATAGAATACTTGTTCTTACCTGTTAAGTACGATTGAGCGTCGAATGAGATAAACGAGTTTATGCATGTTTGCCTTATTTCTGTCGGTACGTGCTGATTATGCAATCGTATATAAACAACGTAATATTTATTTTATTATTTCATTTGCGGTGTCGCGTGTAATAGATAAGCATTACATAAGTTAACCACTTACTTACGTATTTCTCAAAAGAAAACAATGTCGGAAGTAAAAAAGAAGAGACGGCAATACTGTGCGGAATATATTAAATTCGGATTCATTGAAAATCCCATAAACCTACGCGCCTTTGTGCCTTCTATGTCTAAAAACATTTTCGAATGAAGCAATGAAGCCTTCCAGACTGCAAGATCATTTGAATAAAATGCATCCAGATAAGAAAGACAAGAATGTAGCATATTTTCAAGACCTAGAGAAGAAGCTTAATACTCAGCCAAATGTAGCAAAATTATTTTTGGCGGCTGCTAAGCAAGATGACGACGGACTTCGAGCTTCGTACAATATCTCTTTGTTGATTGCTCAAAAAGGCAAACCACACAACATCGGAGAAGAGTTAATTTTGCCAGCAATAAAGGAGGTAATAACTACTGGGCTTTATAAACCGGCCGCAGATATTATCAATTCCTTTGAGTAATAATTCTGAGCAAAGGCGAATATATGAAATGGCTGAAAACATTGAAGAATCATTGTGCAATCATCTGAGGCGTAGTTAATTCTCAATTCAGCTCGATGAGTCCACTTTACCAACTAATGAAGCATCATTGCTGTCTTACGTGAGGTTTATTAAAGATGAGAAAATATGTGAAGAACTATTTATTGTTTGCTAGAAATTTAGAGAATGATACAAAAGGCGAAACCACATTGGAAAAGTTTTGTGATGAGAAAGAGATTCCCTTGAAAAATATTATATCAGTTGCTACGAATGGCGCTCCGGCTATGACAGGGTGCCATAAAGGCTTCATAGCGTACTTAAAAAATAAAATTCCAGATATCCTTGCTGTACATTGTGTTATTCATAGACAACATTTGGTTGCTACAAATTTAAGTGAACGAGTCGATCTGAATTTATCAGCAGGATACTGCAACAACGACGACTTGTTTGCCTACTGCCAACATTTGGAAAATCTCCACATTGACGTCACCGAACGATACCAGGACATTTTGAACTTGGAAATACCAGACTGGGTGTTGGATCCGTTTTCAAATGTCAAAATAGCAATATAATCTCAGCTGGAAGAAGAACTTATCGATATTAAGGATAGAAGAATTGACAACGAACGAGGCAAGAAAAGTCAAGTTCAAAAAGGGCTGCCAAGAATTTTGGCTACAAAAATCGATCCCGCAATTGTGCCCTGGATTGTGGTCAATTGTTCAATGATTCTTGATAGCATTCCCATCGTCATATTTGTGTGAACGTGGTTCTAGTGCTGTGACAACGCTGCTTACTAAAAAGAGAAATCGTTTGCATGTTACCGAACGTGGTGACTTGCGGCTGTTCTTGAGTAAATTGGAACCTGATATCAACAAACTTATTTTCAGATTTCATCAGATTTCATCCTTCACATTAGTTTTTATATTAGAATCGATTATGTTTGTTTTATTTTGAATAAAAGATACTCTGTCTACATACTATAAAGTTGCGTTTCAATAATCATTCTCATTGGCAGGTGTACTAGTTAACTCTTGCGGGTTATAGTAAAAGTCTCGTTTAGAATGAATGTTTAATCTCCGCTAATATAGCTCACAATAATTAATTTAATTTGATGTTATAGTGGTTTTTCAGTAGGTGAAAAAATGGGGACGCTAAAAAATAACTTATTCTGGAAGTGGGCAGTGGACAAAATAAGTATATAAATAAGGGAACCCCTGCTATAGATCATTGTCACGC